CCGCCCGCGACAGCGGCCGCGCCGCGGGAGGGGCGGGGCGGGGGCTGGAGCCCCCGGCTTTGGGCACCGCAGGATGGCCGGGATCGCAGGGCAGCGGGAAGGCCGTCTGCTTCCAGCCCCTCCTGCCATGGGTAGGGACGTGTCGCGCTAGAGTGGGTTGCTGCAAGCACCGTCCAGCCTGGCTTTGGATGCCAAGGATGGGGCACCCAGAGCGTCTCGGGGAAACGTGTGCCAGGGTCTCTCTGTCCTAATGTGGATTCCTGCGTTTCCGCACCTGTAGTTCATTGGGATGCGTGGACGGAGCCGCTGCTGAGTGATGGATTGGTGGTGGGGTTACAGCAGGAGCTGCACGTCCCTGCTTTGTGCTGCTCTTCAAAAACAATAACACTGTGGAGAAGCCCCCCACAAGAATTTAAAGTATTTTATTCTTTTACTCTTACTTTATTCATTCGGTAGCCTTACGGACGTGGATCTCTCAGCCGCTACCGGAGCGTTTCCCTTGGTTTTCTCCGGTTATCCCTGAGAGACTCCCACTCCAGGGATATCCGCCCCACCACCCTGAGTACCCAATGACAGGCACTATTCCTCCTTTTCCCTCTTCCACTGTGCCTGACGGTCTCCTGTTGCACCAGCGGAAATTCCAGGATGGAAATAGGAAAATACTGGCGCAGGCTCGTGGCACTTTAAATTGGCCGGAGCTGCAAACACCGCACGGCCAAATGACGGAAAGTTGCGCCCTCTCCACTGTGGAGCACACCAAGGGGCGGGGAAGGGGAAAGGAGGAACAACAACAACAACACCCGCAAGTTTCCCTTTGTTTACGCTCCTTTTCCACAAGCTTCACTGGAAAGGAAAGTTGGTGGCAGCGGCTGGGTGGAAACTCCCTCTCCAAGGAGCGGGGCTTGTTGACGTTTACCCGGGTGTGTGGGGGGGTGTGTGGGGGTGGGGGTGTGTGTGTGTGAGCGCCAGGGACGAGCGTGGGGGTGTGTGGTGGTGGGGGTGTGTGTGTGTGAGCGCCAGGGACGAGCGGCGATCTCCCCCATCTCCCAATCCAGCGGCCGCGGCGGGGGAGCCATGGCCCTGCGGGATGGAGGGGAGGGAGGCAGGGATGGAGGCAGGGATGGAGGCAGGGATCCCCGGGCGCTCCGCGGGCACGGAAGCGCTGAAGCGCTTGAGGCGCCCGGCGCGCGCTCTACCCGCCTCGCCCGCCCAGCCCGCGCGCGGCTCGGCCCGGCCGTGACGCAGCGCACTCGACGCGCGACGCGGCCAATGGGGCGCCGCCCCCGGGGGCGGTGCTGGGCGCCGATTGGTTGGCAGGAGCCGGGCGCTGCGCAAAAACAGCGCAGCCGAGCGCTGCCCGCTCAGAAACTGCTGGCGGAGCGCGGGGAGCCGGGCCGGGAGCGGAGCCGGGACGGGAGCACAGCGGCAGCGCACACGGGCACGGGCTAGACGAGAAAGCGGCAGGAGAGGAAAAAAAAAAAATCCCCACCGCCATCGGCACCGCCGTAAAAGCCGAGTGATGATGATGATGAACGTACTCGTAGCAATAAGAGAAGAAAATGAAAGAGCTTTGACAGACGACAGAAAAATCTGAAATCCTTAAATTAAAAAAAAAAAAGAAAATACTAGAGACATTGGGGAATGAAAGTTTTGGGTAGCTAAGCTGCTCTCTGCCTTTTTTTTTTTTTAATATATATATATGAAATCTTTTTGCGGGTAATTTTTTTTTTTAATTTCGCTGTTTTCTGCCTTTTCCTTGCATCCAAAGAGGGCATGCCCACCGGCTGTTCCAGCAGCATCTACCCTCCAACTCCCACCAGGAAGACAAACGGAGGACAATCTTGAAATACAAAAATTTCCTCCTTGGAATTTGCTGCTGCTGCTGCTGTCTCCGCCGCCACTGCTGCTGCCGCGGTGCAGTGCCAAGACTCTCGGAATAAATAAAAGAGGGCTACAGTGTGTGTCTAGCTACAGCCGGCTAATAGCTATTTTAGTTGGCCGTATATTTCGAAGATCACAGATGAAGTGGGGACGCCTGTCTTCTTCGTTTGGTCAGCGTGTGAAACAATAATCCCCGTAACAAAAAGAAGGGAGATGGGGGAGAAAAAAAATCCTAACATGAATCAGAAGAAATAGTATCTAGCACCCCCCCTCCCCAGCCCCCCAAACCAACCTCCCCCCCCTTCCCCCGATCCCTCTCTCCCTCTCTCCACACGCTTGCAGGCGCGGACACGCGCGCGCGCACACAGACACACAGACACACACATAGACACACACACACTGTACTGTACTGTGTATTTTCGGAAGAGGAGGTGGCTTTCGGAAGAGGAGGCAGCGGTGGTGTCGGGGAGGGGGGAATCTCTTTCCCCGTCTGGAGATGGTTGTGCTATTCCTCTTTGCCTTGCTCTGGATGGTGGAGGGAGCTTTTTGCCAGCTCCATTACACGGTGCAAGAAGAGCAGGAGCATGGCACGTTCGTGGGGAATATCGCCGAGGACCTGGGCTTGGACATTACAAAACTTTCGGCTCGGCGCTTCCAGACGGCGCCCAACTCCCGCAGCCCTTACCTGGAGCTTAACCTAGAAACCGGGGTGCTCTACGTGAACGAGAAGATCGACCGGGAGCAGATCTGCAAGCAGAGCCCCTCCTGCCTGCTGCACCTGGAGGTCTTCCTGGAGAACCCCCTGGAGCTGTTCCGGGTGGAGATCGAGGTGCTGGACATCAACGACAACCCGCCCTCCTTCCCGGAGCCCGACCTCACCGTGGAGATCTCGGAGAGCGCCACGCCGGGCACCCGCTTCCCGCTGGAGAGCGCATTCGACCCCGACGTGGGCACCAACTCCCTGCGCACCTACGAGATCACCCCCAACAGCTACTTCTCCCTCGACGTGCAGACGCAGGGCGACGGGAACCGCTTCGCCGAGCTGGTGCTGGACCAGCCGCTGGACCGGGAGCAGCAGGCGGTGCACCGCTACGTGCTGACGGCGGTGGACGGCGGGCAGCCCCAGCAGCGCACCGGCACCGCCCTGCTCACCGTCAGGGTGCTGGACTCCAACGACAACGTGCCCGCCTTCGAGCAGCCCGTCTACACCGTGTCGCTGCCGGAGAACTCGCCGCCGGGCACCCTGGTGCTGCAGCTCAACGCCACGGACCCCGACGAGGGGCAGAACGGCGAGATCATCTACTCCTTCAGCAGCCACATCTCGGCCCGCGCCCGGGAGCTCTTCGGCATCGCGCCGCGCACCGGGCGCCTGGAGGTGAGCGGCGAGCTGGACTACGAGGAGAGCAGCGTGTACCAGGTGTACGTCCAAGCCAAGGACCTGGGGCCCAACGCCGTGCCCGCCCACTGCAAAGTGCTGGTGCGGGTGCTGGACGCCAACGACAACGCGCCCGAGATCAGCTTCTCCACCGTCAAGGAGGCGGTGAGCGAGGCGGCGGCGCCGGGCACCGTGGTGGCCCTGTTCAGCGTCTCGGACCGCGACTCGGAGGAGAACGGGCAGGTGCAGTGCGAGCTGCTGCAGGGCGACGCGCCCTTCCGCCTCAAGAGCTCCTTCAAGAACTACTACACCATCGTCACCGAGGGGCCGCTGGACCGCGAGCAGCCGGGCGGCGACGCCTACACGCTCACCGTGGTGGCCCGGGACCACGGCGAGCCGCCGCTCAGCACCAGCAAGTCCATCCAGGTGCGGGTGAGCGACGTGAACGACAACGCGCCGCGCTTCAGCCAGCCCGTGTACCAGGTGTACGTGAGCGAGAACAACGTGCCCGGAGCCTACATCTACGCCGTCAGCGCCACCGACCGCGACCAGGGCGCCAACGCCCGCCTCGCCTACTCCATCCTGGAGAGCCAGATCCAGGGCATGTCCGTCTTCACCTACGTCTCCATCAACTCCGAGAACGGGTTTCTCTACGCCCTCCGCTCCTTCGACTACGAGCAGCTCAAAGAGTTCAGCTTCCAGGTGGAGGCCCGCGACGCGGGCGAGGAGCCGCAGCCGCTGGCCGGCAACGCCACCGTCCACATCATCGTGGTGGACCAGAACGACAACGCCCCCGCCATCGTCAGCCCCCTGCCCGGCCGCAACGGCACCCCGGCGCGGGAGGCGCTGCCCCGCGGCGCCGAGCCGGGATACCTGGTGAGCCGGGTGGCGGCCGTGGACGCCGACGACGGCGAGAACGCCCGCCTCACCTACAGCATCGCGCGGGGCAACGAGGCCGGGCTGTTCCGCATGGACTGGCGCTCCGGGGAGCTGCGGACGGCGCGCAGGGTGCCGGTCAAGCGCGACCCGCAGCGCCCCTACGAGCTGGTCATCGAGGTGCGCGACCACGGGCAGCCGCCGCTCTCCTCCACCGCCGCCGTGCAGGTGGTGCTGGTGGACGGCGCGGGAGAGCGGTCCGGAGGCGGCGGCGGCCCGGCCGCGGGCACCGGGGCGGGGGGCGGCGGCGGCGGCTCCGGCGAGCATCGCCCCAGCCGCTCCGGGGGGGATAACTCGCTTGACCTCACCCTCATCCTCATCATCGCCCTGGGCTCCGTCTCCTTCATCTTCCTGCTGGCCATGATCGTCCTGGCGGTGCGCTGCCAGAAGGAGAAGAAGCTCAATATCTACACCTGCCTGGCCAGCGACTGCTGCCTGGGCTGCTGCTGCTGCTGCCCCTGCTGCAGCCGGCAGGCGCGGGCCCGCAAGAAGAAGCTCAGCAAGTCGGACATCATGCTGGTGCAGAGCTCCAACGTGCCGAGCAACCCCGCGCAGGTGCCGGTGGAGGAGTCGGGCAGCTTCGGCTCCCACCACCACAACCAGAACTACTGCTACCAAGTCTGCCTCACCCCCGAGTCCGCCAAGACCGACCTGATGTTCCTCAAGCCCTGTAGCCCCTCTCGCAGCACCGACGCCGAGCACAACCCCTGCGGGGCCATCGTCACCGGCTACGCCGACCAGCAGCCCGACATCATCTCCAACGGCAGCATTTTGTCCAGCGAGGTAAGGACCGGCACCCCCCGGCATCTCACATCCCCCCCAGCCCCTGCAGACTTCATCCCCGAGCATCCTTCCCGAACCTCCCGCTCCTCCCCCTCTCCCGTCGCGAAAGGCGTTTTGCATTCCCAATCCTGCTTCTATCTCCTTTAATCCGTCCGCTGTCTCTCCCCGCTTTGCGCTCTCCTCTTTGGGAGGCTTTAGCGACAGGCGGGGGGGTCTCAGAGGCGCTTGCGGGGTGGGCACACACTCGCACACCGCTGGCTCCCTCCCGCTCGGGCTGAGCAGCTGTTGCAGCCACGCGTGTTCCCCCTGAGTCCCCCTCCCTCCCCCTGTCCGCTGCCTCTGAAGGAATCCGGCCCCGTCTGGGCAGCATCGGGGCGCGGAGATCCCCCCGAGGCAGCGGTAGCTGTGAGTGGATTGCCTGTGGGTTGAGAGATGGGGGGGTTACAGCTCTTAGCAGAATCTCTCCGCTTGACAGGGCTGAGGTGACGTGGGGTGTAATCACAGGATGTTCTGAAGCAACGCTTTAAACCCGTGTCTTCTTCTGTCCTGAAATCTTTTCGTGTGCAAGTAAAGCTTTGGGGAAACCCCCTTTGGGACTGTAACAATCAGTGTCGTTAGCAAGAGCTTTAATTAATTTGTGAAGTAGGGCTTAGTAATTGACTTTTCTTGACTCTGTCTGCACTGCTCTTTATAACCCCAAAGTTTGCAAAGAAGAGCATCAAGAAAGAGTTTCTGTAAAATTGTGTGCTGAGACTTAATGTTCCCTGCAGTCTTGCTTATGTTGTGTTACCTGGTGTGTAGAGAATTTTTACTAAAGCATTTACCATGCCACGTTACTCCCTCATTAATCATTTTATGCTGGGTTCGCTCATGTATATTGCCTGCACCTCTCTGCCTGTGCTCTAGTGAAAACCTCATATTCTCTCTTACCCTACTGAAACCTGAGTGTTGTCCAGTCTGACAAAGGTAGTTTGAATGGTATATTCTAAGGCATTAAGTTCTGCAGTGAAATTTCTAATATTGATTTGTAGTACTGACTTTGCCTCAAAATGTGTACAAAACTCTTGGCTTCTGCTGCCTTTTTAATGACTTGAGGATATCTCAATGTATTTTTTTTTATTATGGTGCCATACCAGTACCATCTAAGTAGTCTACAACTCTAGAAATAGTTATGCTAATTTTTGTGGGAGTCCTTGTGATGCTCAACAGTGTGCACTGTGAGAAAACGTCAGAGTCTTGTCTCAAAAAACTCCAGGAAAAAATCCCTCGTGCCTTCCCATCTGTGTGACTAAGAGCTGATTTTTTTCCCCTCTTACATTCTAGAAACAGATTTTGCAGGCCTACTTGCAGCTAAGCATTGCCATTTATAGTGAATATGGTGAGCTACTCCCTTGTATATTTTCTGCTGCTGGTTACAGAAATATCCAGAGTTAAAACATTTCCCAATAATTTCTTTTCTCCTAGACAAAGCATCAGCGTGCTGAGCTCAGTTATCTAGTTGACAGACCCCGACGAGTAAACAGGTAGGAGCTCTGTAGCCTTGGTTTCCTCATGCATGCTTTAGCAATTCTGAATGCTGTGCAGAAATGTGTTTACTACAGATGTAACCGGGTAGTAAAGCAGTGGGAAGTCAAACGTATGTAGATGCACTAAATAAGTTTGAATTAGGGCTTTTCTAAACTGGTTTCCAAACTGACTTAAAAGAGAACAAAATCTCAGTTTGTATCAGTCTAATGTGCTTCAAACACTTAATAACATGCTTCTGTAGGGTCTCCCAGATAACATTGTCTCACTGAGTTAAAATTCAGCTAACCAGCTTAAGGAAATGATACCAAATTACTTTTACCGACTACATGAAAGCCAGGAGGAGTAATAACCCTTGCTGGCCCTTGCAAGGTCTGAAAATTGCTCGTTTTGCTCACGGTGGGCAGGGCACCTCGGTGGAAGCCGTGCAGCAGGCAGGGGTGGGGGGGAATGCAGCGCCGTGTTTGGCCATGTGATGGCGGAAGAATGTTTTATGAGTTCCTCTTTCATGTTTATTCTAATGTAAAGATGTTTCTGTGTCTAGTTCTGCATTCCAGGAAGCAGACATAGTAAGCTCTAAGGACAGTGGTCATGGAGACAGTGAGCAAGGAGACAGTGATCATGATGCCACTAATCGAGGTCAATCCTCTGGTAAGTCTGATAAGAGAATGGAAATATTGGATCTTTAAGTAGGGAGACTAGAAGGAACAGTTACTTATAGGAATATAATACAAGAAAGGCATAAATAAGGTGAGCATATTTATTTTTTGGGAGGATGGGTTTACATCAGCTTGCTGCTACAGTTGCCTGGACAAGGAGGCAGTTTTGAACCTCTTTTGGTCATAGGGCTGAATTTATTTTATTCATTTGGTTTTATTAAATTGTTGTGTTGTACTGTATTGTTCACTGCAGCAAAACTTCCTGCACATTAAAACCAACTTATTGGTACATTTTATAGTACATTTTCTCCTATGGCAGATTTAGAGAATTTCAAAGCATTAAGCAATTCTGTTTTGTAGGCACTTCAGCTGGCACAGCAATGAGAAGTGAAGGAGGAGTTCCCAAGGGAAAGAATGAACCCAATGACTGAATGACAGCCAGACTGTGAGGGCTTTTTTTTTTTTTTTTTTTTTGCAGAGGATCAGTGGAGACACATTGGGTGCTCTGAATGTGTAATACCTTAGAATTTTCAGAGGATTGTCTGTTAATTCAAATTGAGGCACCATATAGTGCAAGTGGTCTCCATGTTAATAAGGTATCATTAAATACATTTTCTTGACAGAGGAAAGAAAGGCTTTAAGAGACTATGAATCATTTAGGAAATACACACATTGCAGTGTTATGCCCATATGTAGGGCTTGCTGTCTTAGTTCTCATACTGTCAGTTTGCTTCTGAAAGGAACATTTGTTCAGAGCCTGTGCATTAGAATTCACGCTCAGCCTCGCACTGCATTTTAGCTACAAATGCTGGGTTTTCTTTCCTACCACAGCCTCCCCAGGTCTGGTACATCTTTGTGCCTTTCCCCTTGTTTCCTTTGTGCTCTGTCACGTATAAAGATTTGCTACAATGGTGTCATACAAACTACTGTCAGTTCTCCTTTTTTTTATTCCCCCTGACCCCCACCTTAGAAGACACCAGGGCAGGGGACCCAGCACTGTCACAGCAGTGCTGCCTCACCCGCCTGCTCTGTTAATGTCCCCTGTTTTCTTGCTGCTGTAGTCACTGTGCCCTTAACGATGGGAAACCCAGGCACCAGGGGAAGAGGAGGCTGCCACAGGGCCTCTTTCTATTGCTGCAAGTCATTAATATGCAGACCTAATGAGACTTGAGAAGAGCCAAGAGTCTCTGGAGCTCCCTGCTTCTTGCAGGGCTTCATGCTAAGTGAACAGAGTGTCTATTTTGTGTCTGGGAACCTGACAACAAACCAGGTCTTGCCAGAAGTTTACATCTGAACACAGAGCCTCTTTCATTTTTGGCCTATATATGGCGTATGATTTATTATTGTTTGAAAAAGCCATGTATTTAGCCTCCCCCCACCCTTTCTTTTGCACTCTTTCTGATGCAGCAATCAGGGCTACTGAGTTATAAAAAGCTCTCTCTCCTCCTGCCCTCCCTACATTCCTGTTTTGCTTTTTTTTTTTTCCTCTTTTACGCATTTTACTGCAGCAGTCATCTCCATGAACATTCAATCAGCTTAGTCCCTCAACATAATGAACCATAATAACCAAACAGGAGAGGAAAGAATAAACATCTGCAGAAGGGGCTGGCTTTGACTGATGGTGGGAATATAATCATATAGTTGCACATCAACTGAAAGCTATTTTCTTTTAGATGCATTCTGTGCTGTTATTGTTGTGCCTCAGTTCTTTATGCTTTCCCTCCATTTTAAAAGTAGACTATGAATACTTGTCGTATTTGGCATTGATCCTTAGTTGGGTAAATTCCTCTTCATTTCTATTTTATCGAGTAGTGGAGAAAAACTCTTCTGTACTTTTAAATAATTTCAAATAATTTAAGAATCTGATGTGATTTGTAAACTTCTCTATCTTCAGTGGTGATCACATAGTCAGTAATGAAAGCTGACAATTAGGCTTGGTCTACTCATAATTAATAGTTTGAAATGAGAACTCAGAATACTCACAATTTCACAAATCACACCAGGTTCTTAAATGATTTGAAATTATTTAAGAGCATTATATGATTTGTGAACTTCTATATTTTCAGTGGTGATCACATAGTCAGTAATGAAAGCTGACAATTGGGCTTGATCTACTCACTCAATTAGTAATTTCAACTGAAAACTCAGAATACACCAATTTCATATATTGGTACTGAGACTTGAGAATAATTTGCATGCACCATTTTTTTTAACACTAGTCCCAAATAAATATTTAGTAGAAACTGCTTTAATCTGCTTCACACATATTATTTACTTTTCCTGTAAGTTTTGGGCTGAATCATACTGGCTCAATGCAAAGAATGTGCCCTTTTACCTCAGAGATGACAAGATACTTTGACTAAAATTTTCACTTTTGTTATGAGCTTTTGAGAATGAATTTTAAGTGGAAAAAAAAGGAGCATAAATCTGTTTTCATCTCAAATGGCTGGAGGAAATATAGAGGGAATGCCTTCTCAATTGCTTTGGTCATTCTGATGCTCTGTAATCAATTATTTCTATATTACTAAAGGAAAGCACACTGATTGATAACATGGCAACAGTTTGGGCTGGTTTTTTTTTCTCCAAGATGCTACCTGATACTATGCAGCATCATATTTGTTTTCAAAAGCATCTAAAAATATTTAGTCGGTAATTCACACTGGCAGACAAAACTCATTCCCCATCAGTTTTAGTCAGCAGCATGTTCTGCTGGCAAAACATCATTTTGCTGTTCAGCACGGGACCTCTGTCACTACTGAACAGCACACAAGTAGCTATTCTGTAGTAGTCCATTGAAATCCAAACTTAGTTTTTAATTGGGAAGAAAAACATGTAGAATGAAAATCCATCACACTGCCACAGCTTTATCTTGCACAGTTATTTAGTGAAAAATCTGAACTATGCTGTTCTATATATCATAGAATGTTTTCTTGGGTTTTGAATTTAGATTGTAGTTCACCTTTCACAAAATGTATTTTCTTAAAAGTGATTTAATCATGTTTTAAATATTCTGAAATGAACGTAAGGGTTTCTTTTTTTTCCCCATTGAAATAACACATAAATGCTTCATAATTTTCCACATTCTTACCTACCTTAACACTGATGAAGTACTAAAGTACTGTCATCTGCTTTTGGCAGGGAATGGCAAGGAGTGAGATGCTCAAGATCCTAATTTTTTGTGGATTGAATAGTTATTTCATTGGCTGGGTTAGTAATCTGAGCTTTTGGAAAAGACTTTACAAACGTGAAGATGTGCAGGAGATTTTTGGCAGACAAAGGAGGGGTTTCTCAAACCTGGGTTCTAATGACCTGTGCTCTTTGAAAATGTTTGAGAGAAAAGCTGCTGCTTGTTATAGAACAAACACAGCTCACACAACACTTCTGCCTGTTACTAACACACTGTATTTCAGCCGTGTTCTGTAGGAGTAATTCTCAAGCATGAGGTTAGTTTATTTCCCATGGTTGATTAATTTCTTGGCCTCCCTTGTGAAACTGCCAGCTTGGGTGCCAATTAATACTCTGCATGTGTGTACATTTAAATTGTATGATTAGACACCTGTCCTGTAAGATTTGGACTCGTGCCATCAATTTATTTCCTATGGTTGCTCACTAGCTACTTGGCTTTCCCGAGCAGAGTCCTTCACAGAATTACCCTTTTTTTCATGGAATTGGCACAATATCTCAAAGGCACTTCAGGGAGGAATGCCCAAGATGAGGAGCCAAGTAGTTGCACTGCCTTGTATATCCTGTAAAATGCATCAGCTTTTTTGATCTGTTTTTGGACAGTTTACATTGGTGACTGGCTGAAACCTGAAATTAGGCTTTTCCTGTTGGATTTTATGAAGGGAACTGGTAAGGGTTTAATGCAAAGGCACAGGGTGAAACACTGGCTCACACCTTTTCAGTACAGATTAGCTTGAATGCCAAGAGGGTTCATTATGGCAGAAGAGCTGCAATATTTCAGTGTCCATAAGGAGAAGAATAAGAGAAGTCAGAAGAAGAATTTCAGTGATAAATGGACAGAGAAAACCAGTATTTCCTCTGAGCCTATGCAGGCTGACAGCTAAATCCTGTTTTGAAGATCACTTGAGCAAAAAGTCTATCTCAGATGAAGTGAGAGTGAACATGAAAATGGCTTAGAAAAGTGCTTTGACTGAAGCTAAGTGCTATTTCTTTTTTTTTTTTCTTTTTTCCCCTCTTCTTCTTTGGCCTGCATGGTTAATAATGTTCACATCTCAGTGGTCCAGATAGGCCTTTAAAGCTGAGATTTGGAAGAGCTGACTATTCAAAATGTTTGAGTCTTTATTCATGTTCTGATGCAGATGAAATCAGTTTTATCCAAGGCAGCACACCAATTACTTAGCAAGAAAGAGTGATAATAGCTGTGTTTCAGAAAGTCCCATTCCAAAGTCGATAACTACCAAGTAGACTAACATCATCCTTATTTACCAATACAAAACATGAATCATGGGGAAATGAGTAACTTGCTCATTAATAATCTAACCAAATGAATAGTTTTCCTGGGAATAGGATCTCTGAGAAAGTCTGGCTCCCTACATCACACCTGTCTCGCATCTAACTAGCACAGGAGAAACAGAAATGTCGTTTATTTCCAAGTAAAAGGAAAAGTTCTGAAAAAATCGCACACATTGGGGAAAAACCCCTCTCAGTAATGGTATTTCAAAAAATACTTGTCAGCATTTAATTTGTATTTTTATTTTTTGTTACATCTTTTACTCAGTAATGCATATGAAAGTGTTCACTTGTTGCTCTTGGTGTATGGTTCTTCTCCCTTTAATTAATTTGAGAAAGGACACATTATTTAAAAATTAATTTAGGCCTAATTTTTTGCCTTGACAGAAGAGTCTTTCAAACCAATTAAAACTCACAGAGAAATTTTGATTTTCTGCTTTTGAAATATGAAAAGGAAGCAAATTGGGAACACACTTCCAAAATGCAGTGCTGCCAAGTACGTGATTCAAAGCCCCTGAGTTCAGGTACTTCAGACATCAAACTTAATCAACACCTTTCCTAATTTTTGGCAGCTTTGAGGGAGGGGCAGGGGTTTGTTTTCCTTTAAAATCTGGAAAGTCATGGTTGTGGGAGAGTTCATATTGTCCACTGGCCCCTCTGGTAATAAAATAAGAGTGAGCTAGTGGCCTTTGCCATGAGTTGTTCTATGTGTGCTGCGTTGGAATAGTGCAATGCTGCTCACTGTCACAGCCTTACTGCACTGTCCTGTCTGCTTGTATCCACAAAGGGTATTTGAAATTCCTAATTCAGAGTCACCTTTGAAAATCTCAGTTTATCTGCATGTGCAAGGTCTAACAACATAACTAAGGGAGAAATAAAAATAGAAAGCATTGCTCTTTAACGTGGGCTTGTAATTATGATGGATAGTTTACTTCAGAAGGATCATACATATATATGTATACATATATAGCCAGGTTTAAGAAGGAAATGAGATGGAAGTGTTAAACTACTGAACATTTTCTTATAAATCAAGAACAGGATTCTTGGGGTATGAAGGAGTTCTGTGCTGTGTCTCGCTTCTTTACCTGATATGTCCTTCCTTCTTGGAAAGCAACAAATAGCCCTTACTTTTCCCCAACCGTGTGTTAAATCTTTTTCAATTAGAGCCAGAAAATTCTATACTGTGACCCACAGGAGAAAGGTGGGGAAGAATAGCCAGCATTCATACCACAGGCAGTGTAAATTGCATGGCTGCCCAGGGATTTTGAAAATAAGCTGCTAATTTGAATTTCTTTTCTGTCAAAATACTAAACCCGAGGGCTTGGTTCTGCACCTGTTAAACTCTTAGGGACTGTTGTGACTGCTTCAAGCTGGAACAATTCCTAACCCTTGCCTCTCTGAACATTTTGTTCCCATTCTAAACAAGCATTTACATTTAGCTATGTGTTCCAGTGGGGTATATTTAAATTCCAATGTATATAATTTGGTTTTTTTTTCCTTTTTACAAGTTCTTCTCTCAAAGAGAGAGAAAGTTTGCAGTACAAGCTGACATTTTATATCCCCTATATTCATTACTTTGTTTATTAAAAATCCTGATTTATAGTGGCTATAACATCTCTTTTATAATAAGCTGTTATATAATACTATTCAGTGCACTGCAGCAGACAAGCAGTATTCAAAAGGGAACAAAAAATATTTGGATAGAGACATTTTGCAGTTTAGCAGCTGATGTGAGAACAAAATATTAAAATGGAAGGTAATTTTCCAGGTGAAATAAAGATCCATGAAGGGAAGAAAAGGGTATATATTTAAATGCGTATACTTAAAACAATATTTTTCTAATCTTTCCCTCCCCATAGATTAAATATAATTTAATATTTATCCTTAAGTTTTTCTTTCTCCTGCTGTCTTTCAGGAGAGGTTGAATGAATATGGTCCCTGATACATTATCAGCAAAATGGAACTGTAATCATTTTCTTATTAAATGTAGAACTGTTTTTTACATGTAGCTGTGCCAAGAAGTCTGAAAATTGTAACTATTTAGTGTTTGTCCCTTCAATCTTTGGAAAGGAAAAAAAATATTTTTCTTCAGCTATTTCAATACACACACACACATGGTTTTATAAACATTGTTAGATACTGATTTCTTTCTGGGAAGCCCGCATCTAAATATTTCTTTTCAGTCTTTGATAGCTACTACCACTCCAGAATTTATATTTGCACTATTTTTCTCCTTGCCTGATGATCTTCATCTGATTCCGTAAGCATATCTGCAGTTCACATTTGCATTCTTCAACAGTTCACTGATCAGAAATTTATTTTCAGGCTTCTGCATGCCAATTATCAAGGCAAGCTTCTAATCGAAACTGGACCTGGCATTGTATATTGCTTAATTTAAAATTAAAAAGTCATTATAAAGTGAGATTAATCTGAGACAAAAAGCTTTTATTTCTCATTTCCTCATGACTTCTTTTTCTGTCTAAATGATTGCCTTTCTTACTCAAGAACTTGTTGATAGCTCATAATCATTGTTCCTTTCTGAAGAGATTGTTTTTCTGTAGTATGAGATCTTACATAAATATTATTAATATTATTCAAATTAGAGTTCAAAACTGTGGTAGAATTCTTAATACTAATCCTCACACTGGAGATCAAGCTAATCCAGTTCTTTACAATGTTCCCTGGTAAATGGGCTACATTACATGAATCTTTTTACAAGAATCAACTAGGTTGGAAAAGATCATTGAAATCATTGAGTCTAACCTGTGCCCTTACACCACCTTTTCAAACAGACCATGACACTGAGTGCTGCATCCTAAAAGTTCAAGGCAAATCCTTGAGTCTTTCCTTAAACACCTCCAAGGGACAGTGGCTCTGCCCTCACCTGGGCACCCTTTCTGTGAGGAAATTCCTCCTAATGTCCAACCCAAACCTCCCCTGGCACAGCTTATGGCTGTGTTCCCTTCTATGTTACAGCTGTTCAAATTATTTTTTTTTCCTGTTTCTGTTATAAGAAGTGTTATTTTTTTGTAATTCTAATGAAGTGCTTGTAAATGCAATGTTGATAACAGATTTAGTTCAGTTTTGATACACACCTAAGATGCTCAGTTCTCTTTATAAATACAAGAAAAGGAGGGTTTTTTTTACTGTTCTGCTTTTTAGTATGATGTTGAAGATTGTGTTGGTTTAACCCAAACAGCAGCTAAGCACCACACAGTTGCTAGCTCATTCTCCTAGGATGGGAAGGAGAATCAGAAAAAAGTAAAGTTGTGGGTTGAGATAAGAATAGCTTAATAATCTAAATAAAGATGATACCACAATGGAGAAAGAGAGAGGAATGAAATTGAAGACAGAGAAAAGATGCGCACTACACTTGCTCACCAGGCACTGATGGATACTCAGCCCTGCCCTGAGCAGTGATTGGCCCCTCCCTGCCACCTCCCAATTTGTCTAGTGGGCATGATGCTCTCTGGTATGGAATTGCCCTTTGGCCAGCTCACATCAGCTGTCCTGACCATGCTCCCTCTCAGCTTCTTGTGCATTTCCTCACTGCCAGGGCATGGGACTTTGAAATGTCCCTGATTTAGTGTAAGCACTGCTGAGCAACTACCCAAACATTAATGTGTTACCAACACTACCCTCACACTAAATCCAAAATGCAGCACTGTACCAACTCCTAGGAAGAAAATGAACTCTGTCCCACCCAAAAGCAGGACAAACCAACTTGGAGATGCTGGTTTGTTTTATTCTGTCCCTGTGATTTCATACACCATTCCTCTCAAGTATAGTCCAATGGCTTAGTGACTCTTAGCCAGGAAATATTCCTTAGGAAGACTGCTCTAAAAGCAGTCAAAAGCAGCATAGCTCGTCATTCGAGATCTTAATAGCATTAAAGGATTTGTAAGCAAACAGTTTGGTGTTGGCATGGATAATTGTTTGCTTGTATAGGGGAAGCATTAACAATTTTTTCGATGATATTCACAGCCACATCACACTGGACTGCAGTTGCCTTTGGACTGCTAATTGCAGTATTTTATTATAGGGTTCTGTCCCATTTCTTGGATGACTTGATAATAGCAAGGACTGCTGCAGCAGCAATGTAAACTATCTCTGAATGAGTGATGCAATGATTGAATAAGCTCTCCTGATCGCTTGAAAGCTCAACTCCTACTTTGTAACATCTGCTTTTAATATCAATAGGCTCCATCTCTATAATGATGTATGCACAGATAGTTCCTTTATAGGACTCATTAACGTTTAATTTCATAAATGAATCTGTGATTTCTAAATGCAGACTTTCAATTTCTTGGTCAGAGGCACATTTATGTAGAAACAATTCCTTCATGTTCCTAAGCACATATTTTCAACAGGTTAACTGCAGACATTCAACCTACAAGCAGAATTGAACCTTGTATGAATGGGTTCTAAATAGTGAGATCTGCAAGTTATTTTGTGAGGCAGAACCTCTGATGCTCTTCTTCTTGTGGTATTTTTGTGTGTATGTGTGACATTCTAGCATTTAGTTACGCGTGTTACAGGGTGTCTTTGACTTCTGAAGACCAGACAGCTAGATTTTTTTCATGTTGTTGTTGAGGAGATGAATCTAGTGGAAGAAGTTCTTACAGCATTTCTCTTTCCACTTCTCTTTCCTTGGCATAATCTTTCTTATCTGTCAGCAGCTGTTCATGATGATGAAGCTTATATCTGTAGTTTCTTTTTCTTTCATGCTTGCAGGCATGGACCTCTTCTCCAATTGCACAGAGGAATGTAAAGCACTGGGCCACTCAGATCGGTGCTGGATGCCTTCCTTTGTTCCATCCGATGGACGCCAAGCTGCAGATTACCGCAGCAATCTGCACGTACCTGGCATGGACTCCGTTCCAGACACTGAAGTGTTTGAAACACCAGAAGCCCAGCCCGGGGCAGAAAGGTCCTTCTCCACCTTTGGCAAAGAGAAGGCCCTTCACAACAGTCTGGAGAGGAAGGAGTTCGATGGACTGCTGTCTAATACACGAGCGCCTTACAAACCACCATATTTGAGTAAGTACTGTTTAAAAAGCTCTCTGGAAGTGTTCCCTTTGCAGGAACAAAAATTAGCTCTTTTCTTCTTTTCATGCTAGGAATAATACAGCACAATCTTAGGAATGGGGGGGAAATGGTTTCTCTTGGATTCAGGCACCAGTGAAGAAGGCATTGTTCAGTGTAAGAACAAAGAGAAAATCTTGCTTGTTTTTAGTGTGACATCATTGTCAGCAACAAAAGTGTCAGTTAATATTAGTGGGCGAGTCGCTCAGTTTTGTTTGCTGATGCTGGATTATTTCTAAAATTTTCTTTGGTACGTGATTTAAACGTTGGTGTTGCCAGGCTAGTGTTTTCTAAGAGGAGAGTAAATCTGAGAGAGCTTCTAGGTGCTTATTTTTATAATTGAGAAGTATCTTGTGAGTAAACAGTATGTATATTATTTTGAAGTAGCTGTTTACATCATTTGGAAGGAGGAAGAGCCTTTGGTCTGATCGTTTTTCAACCTGCATATTATTGACTCTTGTAAGTGCACCTTTGTGCCTTCTGTCTCATTCCAAAATCTTGCCTCTTTCTTTAGTCACCTTTCGGCTATGGTTATGTGGCAAGAAAGAGTGTGATAGATCTCAAAAAGACCTTCATAATTCCTTTTGGAGTCTGAGCCAGCTGAAGAACCCTTGAATAGCACTTTGATCTGTCTTTTCATTCTATTTGATGTGTTCTGTATTTTATTAGAGACTAATTTCCTTGACATGGAGAATTTATGATGTTTCTCTCATTCAAATAGGCCAAAGACATTAACACTGCAATACTGACCCTTTTTTAAAGCAACAGAGGTCTTTTACGACAGCAGATTGGGGGTAAAAGAGAAAATAATCTCTCTGAATGGTATTAATTTATTTATTTTCCTAAAGCATTTAGTTGTTCTGAGGAGTGGTATGCTGGCAGTCCTGATATCTGAAGAACTTTGGTACAGATCATTCTCAGCACAGACAGCTCAGTTTTACCTTCTAAATTGGCTGTCCTGGTATTTGCATTCCTTTAGGAGAGGTCTTTTTACCACTCTTTAGATTCACTTTACTGACAACTTTAAATTTGGCTACTGGTTCTGATCTGTGAAAGCCCTTCCTAAAAACCCGTCCTGAGACAATCAGCTTAATTTGTAACTGAATTACTTATTTTGGGCTAAAATGTTATGTGCCAATCATCTAGTCATATTCTAAAGACTTTCAGTACTTTCAGTCTTTCCTGAACTGATTTTCCATCATTTATTTCTACAAAACATTCTTCAGCACTAAGGCACAATCTAGCATCATTGATTTAATCACTGTCACCTCAGTTAAAAATTTAACTTTAATTTAACAAGTTTGGTAGCATCTTTAGATGGTCTAACCACAACTGGGTTCTTGTGCAGTATGGATGTTGTAATGATGATTGTTCTCTGGGGACACCACAATGCTAGTTCTGTTCTTATTTGTGCTAGGCCTGGGAGTTTAATTCCAAATAGTATATACTTTTTTCATTGATAGTTCAGGAATTTTAAATTTTGTTACACTAGCTTGAGTAGTTTGTTGAACAATGACATTACATAGAGACATTGATCTACATTTTGCACTTTCCTGGCACAAGGGCATAAAAAACTGGAAGTAAAATATCAGAAGTAACCAATAAATGATTGTTATTGCATAATCCACACTTGAGAATCCAGATTTAGTTTTGCTTTTTTTCCTCGAACCTCGAAACTAAAATTTCTACAAAACAAGAGTAATGCTTCTGTTTTATTTTCCCTTATTTGGTGTTTTTTTTAAAATCTTTATTTATTTTAGATTACAATTGTATAGTAAAGAACAGGAACAACAAAAAGAAAGTGAGCACTAGTTGTAGAAATGTGGAAATAACTTATTATTAATAAAGCACTAAACAAATGAGGTAAGAAAAGTATATAAGAGGAAGTTGACTTACGAAGGAACCTTAGTTGATTCACTGGGTAATTGCAATTAAAAATAAAATTAAATTCAACTTCTTCACACAGAAAACCATGTCAAAATCAGTTTGTCAACAGAATGACTTTTTAAAAGAAATAATTAAAATGTATGAAACAGAACCCTCATATTAATCAAAAACACTGTATAAAAAGTTGAAGCATGTTTGAAAATGGCCACATGAAAAATGAGCAGCAAAGAATAAGAAGTGTATTGCAGAATGCAAAAACTATTTGAATTTAAAACATGTCTTAAAAAAAAAGATTCTAAGCCAAATGATCAGAAAAGAGCAGAAATTCTAGCTAGTGACTTTGAGGATGGTAATTAGTGAGCATAAAAGGGACCCCTTAGAGCAAATAGCCAAAGGAATGCAAACAATACAGACAACTTCCAGATACCAGGTGTAGTAAGGTAGGAGAGAACTTGTGAGTCTCTTGAGCTGCAGTTAGTGAGGACAAGGATGTGGCAGAGATTCTGAGCTGTTTCTTTGCATTTGTGTTTACCCAAGGAGGGACAGAGATAGGCAGGCATATCTAGGAAGGCATGCATCCCAGGTAACCATTTTAAATAAATGTCTGAAAAATGGAAGAGGATGTTGTTGAAAAAATTGACTAAAATGGATAGAAATGAGTCAGCTGATCATGTGTTTCTTCAATTTTTAGCTTCTAAGAAGAGCTGCTAACCAAAGAATATCAGAAGTTGTGTTTGTCATTTAAAAATGTACTAGAAAACATTGTAAATCAGAGACCAATAAGAAGCTCAGCCCAGGACATACATGTGTAATTTAGGGTTTTAGGAACAAGGTAGCTGGCATCTGACCAGGAAAGTAATACAGGAAGATTGTCAATCTATTAGAATTTTGATAGAGTGAGAATTAATCAATAGAGTGTATTTGAACTGTCAAAAAACCCCTCTAGCACAGCTTCTGTGCAGTAGAAGCAGCTCCTAAAATAATCAAGTGTTGTCATAGGGCAAAGCATTACCAGACTTTGTGCCTAAGAGGAAAAAATCATGAAGATAAACTGAACATTTCAGCAGAAGCAGAGTCCCCCAAGCATTTATGCAGAAATCCATGGAGTTTTAAAATAATTAATTATCTAGAAACAACAATCAGAAAAAGGGGGCAGTGTCTGCAGATGTCATGAAGGGGTTTGGGTGTACTGGCTCTCGCGTAGCACATGCCCCTGATGCACAGTGAAGTGTGGGCAAACCTCCTCTGCTTCCCAGGTACCTGGCTCTGGAATGGAAAGCTGCAGAGCCCTGGGAATGCTGAGGAGCTCACTCCCAGGAGCTGTGTCCTTTGTCAATGGCTCCAGAGGTTAGCTGGTAGCTCTAGGTGGAGCTTTCATGGTGCCACAGGAGTGTCTGCTCCAGGATTCCTCCAATGTGTCCATTCAGTACAGAACCTTCAAAAAGATCAAGAAGGTGATGCATATTACCATGAGAAATTTGAATTCATCCTGAGAAAAGACCGTGGAATAGTTCCCTGAGAAGTTTCCCACAATGCACAAAGCCAGCAAGAAGGAAATAAAATACTAGGTTGTAAAAAGGGAATTGAATTGAAAATACACTTTAAAAAGTGCTACAAAACCCCTACACAGATCGTGTCACTGTGTTCCTCTAGACAGTCTATTCATTCCATAGAAACACATGGCATAGCAGCAACAATACTGAAAATAACTCTGTGCAAAGTCATATCAAAAGCTTAGTACTAATTAATGTAGGCAAGCTGTGATAGGGAAGTGAAGGAGGCTGCATGAGAACTGAGGAAGTAAACTGCGTGCTTTTGTTTGCTGGGCTCAACAGCAAGAGAGCAGCAAGGCAGAGAAACAACAGCAGGGCAACAGGGTCATGAACTGATCATACACATTTGATAAAATACACATAGATCACACACATTTGATAAAATGATACCAATTTGACATAAATTGCAGCAACCTGTTGAACTTGTGCAGCATGATTGAAGCTGAAGGCTTAACATAGTGGGAATTTGGGTATTTGGTTCTTTGTGGTTGGAGGTTTAGGCCATTGCTTGGTTAAGAGAAAACAGCAACTGTATTGCAAATTACTGTGTAGAAAAGTATACAAATCTCATACCTGACAGTTTCTTTTTGTTCCATCATGAAATTTTCACCTTGCTGGTCTAAGCCATTGGACTTACTCATACACCAATTTCCACAAAAACATACATATTCTATGTATTATTCTGAACAAAATGTAATGTAAGTAGATTTCTGCATACTTAAATAATATATTTTGAAGAATATATTTATGTCAGTTTTATGTAATTGCTATGAGTAAAAGTGATAAGTTATGATGGGATCAGTAAATTGTAGGAGTTTTGAAAATAGTTTCCTCATAAAGTGTCTCCAGGATTCTCCTAACTTATGTATTCTTCTTACTGTGCAACTAGCATCTGTTGTTTTTCCATGTGGTTTGAACACTGCATTTGTGCAGACAGTTAAGAAATGTTCATAATGATTTGAATGTTCATAAAAATGAAAGAAATTTGGAACTTGACTGGAGAAAATAAAATAAGTGAAATAACACTCATGAGGAAAATAAAATGTAGCTTTTAAAGAATTCCTCTGTTTTCAATCCTAACCGTTTCTAGTTGATTTTTCTTTAAGTGGTGGTTTTATTAGCCATTATTCTTATAAATAATATTACTATAGTTACCAAAACCCCTAATCCAATATTCAAACTGTGTTGGACCAGACTCTGTAGGATATATAACAGACACTATCTTCAGAAAGAATACCTGATCAGTCTGATTCTGCTCTATTTCTAATACTTTGAATAAGATCCTGAGATGGTAGCAGTGGAAACAGCACCATTAAATCTACCTCAGGAGTATTTTGGTCTATAATAAGATATAGCTTTCATTTTTTAAATATAATTTTAGTTCACTCTAGATGGGCAATAATTTTATAATGCTTTAGAGCTTTCCTGAGATTTCATACTGATATTAGCGACAGAATAATTTTTATTCCTATTAAAGGGTTAGGATTTTTTCAGTATACAAAACCAGTCAAAAAT